AAAAAAAAAAAAAAAAAAAAAAAAGAAAGAAAATGTATTTTAATGAATGTAAAAATCTCTATGGAATGATAATTACAAAATTATCTTTATATATCAGTAAATATTTACATATATAGTTACTTCATCTGAAGATAATACCCTAGTGTCTGTGTGTGGGTAAATTTTGTATTATGAAGTTTTTGTGATGCTTAAAGTGTTCATTAATAGAAGTAATATCTGCATGTCTTCTGAGAAAATAATGAAAGAATATACAATATAAATCGACACAATACAATTTATATTTCCCCTTTATTTTCACTTTATACACATTTTAGTTACATTATTTAATATACTGTATAAAAGTTTATTAGAAGCTTTTCCCACAGTTATAGTAGTTGATAATACATAATGAAAAATAAAGCCTTGCTATGCTGCACACTTGCAGAAAATGTCATCTATAATTAGAATAATTTTTCAAGTAATATAAACAGAGATTAAACTTTAGATTAATGCAATGTGTTCCATGTTTTACAGGAAATATTGATGAAACAGAACAAGAGTGGAAAGCAGGATTGCATCGTTGGAGCAATTACATGATGGACTGGAGAAATCAATTTAACGATTACACTAGCAAGAAAGAGAGTTGTATGGGTCTCTAATTAATAGATTCACCCTTTATAGAATGTCCATTTTCCTGTAGATGAAAGCAAAAATACCAGTAGCTCTCTTTGCATATACCAAGAATGCTATTATACAACCAAAGGAGAAATGCCAGAGGAGAATATTGATTCCTCACATCTTTCACTCAGTATTTTACCTAATGTTTCAGAGCCGAGTCACTAGAAGTTGTTTTTATTAATTTTCAGAATATAAACTTTGAGAATTAATTAGGTCTATATTAATACAACATGCTACTTTGATCTTACCTTCCTGAATAATATTACTGTTTTTACCTAAAAGGTACATACCCTGTTTTTATTCACTCCTGTATTATCAGAATCATATATATAAAAGTATCTTAAAAAATGGAATCAGATTTTGAAACACTGATGTTACCATTTATATTAGTTTTTCCTATAATTTATTTACAAATCTAGTGTTAATATGAAATAGTAAAACAACTAAAATTTGGCTATTAATATATAGAGAGCCAAGGGAGAATATAAAAATAAGAGCCATGGTATCTGGGAAAGGTTACAGTGAAATAAGATATGACTAGCACAAACTTTGGAATTTTATGTACTATTGAAAATCAAACCAATTTGTTATCGTGCATAAGAAAACATGTTTCAGGCATCATTTCCTGAATATGACTTTTCATATGAAACAGGTCCCATCCAAGAATTCCACAGCCAAAGAAAACACGGGACTCCTAAAAGAGAACCCTTTGCCTCCACACTGTGGTGTGGGGTGGACAGCAGAAATCAGTGTATAGCAATTCTTGGATGTTGTACCTTTAACAGATTTACAAGTGAAACAAATAATTTTTTTAAATTACTCATGAAATAAATGTAAGTGAATCTAAACTCTGCATCACATCAGTCCTCTCTAGGGTTAATACATGAAGAATTGTTACTATAGCATTAAATAAAGTCATATAGCTGTCACGTTATTTAGGTGAATATTTTGGTTCATGTCTCAAAATATGACAAATAATTAGTAAGTCTTCGATTATAAAAGAATAAGTGTAGCTAATCCAGGCAGTTTAGAACATTATTTTGATCAATTATTTATATATTGCAAAGTGTAATTTTTAGTTGGTTAGTGTTCAAATTTTGATTTATACAGACTAAAGCAGTAAGTCTCATTTCTTTAAAAAATATCCTTGTTATATATTCTAATTTTTGAAAAATAGTATGCTGAAGATTATAAAGACGGGATAATTTAAAAAGTGAAGTAATTAAATTCTTGTCAATCTGATAATGTCTTGGATAATTATTAAGTGACACAATTATCCTAATGCCTAATAAGCAGGACAATCTACACATTGCTGAAGAAGACAACAAAATCAATAGTGAAATTTCATAGCCTGGTTGTCTATACTGTGCTCAACAGCACCAGTCCTCTTTATAAACTTGTTTGCAAAGGATAGTATGTAGAATGAAAGTGGATTTACCTAAATGTACTGAATGTAAAGCATTATTTACAATCCTTCTACACTGCCAAAGAATAAAGAGAATTCCATCATCAGATCTAAAAATGCATACAAATATGTATTAGGGTTCTTTAATGGGAGAGATAAAATGAATACATATATTAGAAAGGAATTTATTTGAGTGACTTAGGGGTTATATATTAGTAGTTCAATAATGGCTGCCTCATACTAGAGAGGCCTAGAATATAGATGTTGTTCAATACACAAGGCTGGAAGTCTCAGCATTCCCATTCAGGTGCTGGAAGCCTGGAGAAATCCTACAGAGCTTCTGGCCCTGAGTCTACTTTGAAATCCCAAAGAAGTAGGTTCTAATATTAGGGAAGGGATGTCACATCAACAGGATAGATGAACTTACTTTCAAGAATTAGGCCACTCAGGTAAAATGCAAAATTTCTTTCTTCCATGTCCTTTCATATGAGCTACTACCATAAGGTGCATCATACATTTAGGATGGATCTTCCAGTTTCAAATTCCCTGATCTAGAAAATCATTCATAGGAATGTCCTGAAGCTTGCAAATCAGTTTGACTCCAGCTACCGTCAAAATAACACCAAAATTAGACATTACAAACCCATCCCTTGACAGCATGACATACAGCCACATTTCCTTAAGTAATGCTTGATTTCCAAATGAAAGCAATAATCAGGTCATAATTACACCTAACATTCTATAACTGTCCCATGCACAACTATAAATGTATTATCTATTTTAGAATAGTTAGCAAAGTCCCTTGAAGAATGCTTAGTCTTTTGTGTCTTTCAACTTAAATATGATAACACAGATTTACAACACTTAACCAATGATATTATCTCAATTGATGTTACAATGCATGATAAAAAAAATAGAGGGAAGAAATTGCAAATATCTGTGTATACATGCAAACATGTTCTTTGCATAATAAGACAGAAATTCATATCAATTACAATGATTTCTGCAACTGAATATTGGCCAATATTTATAACTATATTTCTCTACTATCTGTTTTTTTTATTTCCTCCTCCCTTATCAAGCAGCTTACCTTTATGAGTTTCCTAGAATCTATGTCAATTAAAAACAAGTATCCAACAGGCTATGCAAATCTGATTGTTTATTTTTCCTCAATGCATAGTTACTCTAGTAAAATGCCACAGGTCCTTCTATAAAAGGGCAGGAGAAAGATTAACAAGAAAACTCTTCAATATGCTAACACAATCCTAATTCAGGGGATCCTGGCCTTCCCTTCATTCAAGGAGCTCTAGGTTTTCTAGGGCTCAGGTCTAGAAATTGACATACAGAGACGCCTTATTGCGACAATACAATTTATCCTTTCTTGTATTTGTTCTAGAGTTTTCCCGCTTCCATAGATGAAACAAACACTTAATAGGCTTCTATCTATTTTGTTCCTGGAAGCAGCATGTTTCATTAGCCAGTACCAAAGGTTCCCATGGGTCAGACCTTTACACTCATTGCTTTGTGTGTGCTGCCCATTCCAATACCTAGTCTTGTCTTACCTTTGACAATTCAGTGGTGCCACCTGATCTCTGCAACTCAGAGGCTCAATTAAACCCATTATGATTAATTTATCCATTGAGCAGCAGCATCTTCAATCCTAAGATCTGACACAAGGAAAAGAGCAACGACAAAGCTGTTCAAACGTGCTGATGCCTGCCTCAGCGTTTTCTGTGCTATATTTTCCATGTCAGCCACTCACCTTTTTCTATAGTGAAAGGCATGTATTCTTGACCTTATTACAGTGAAGGAAGAGATTTTACACGGGTTCTCTACTCCAACATTCCAAATCCTAGAGTCTTATCATCAACAATAGGCCAAGATACAGCCGGCATATCCAGATCCCTCTAAGTAGAATACCATTTGAAAACTACATCAGCCTACCAATCATATAAACCTTTGGTACTCCTTTTTAACTATGAAAACTTCCATATTAAACCCAGAATCACCACAAAGAGGGTCTATATCAATAATCTTAGCCTGATCCAGTTTTATGTTCCTTCTACCACAATCCCACACCCTTAAGATCCATTCTCATGAGTATTACCTTGACCTCTACTTGAATGAACTGAAACGTTCATTAATTTTTTTTAATAATGTAGTGCCCCTCGCAGACCTCACTACTAGGGCCACTCTTAGTCTCCTTAAAGATTACAGATAACAATTAGTAGGCACCAAGGGACATCTGTATTGTCTTACCTAGCATTCCCTTTAAGGGAGGTAATTTTGAGTTCTGTGTACAATACAGGTTCAGTTCTCTCAGGCAACGATGGAGAGAGCAATACTAGGAGGGATGCTTTTGGGGTGTATGTTCTTATAAGAGTGGGGAGACAACTTTCTCAGGTGAGATAATATAGTGGTTTGAATGAGAATGCCCCCTTCCACCCAGGATCAGCTATTGATGGTGTTGTTTGGGAGGTTTAAGGGGTACAACTTTGCTGGAGGAGGTGTGTCACTGTGGATAGGATTTGAGATTATATAACCTCATCATACCTCTAGTTCACCCTTTCTGCTTTGTGCTTGTGTTTGAAGACCTAAGCTCTCAGTTTCCTGTTACAGCCACCATGCCTGCTGCTTGCTACCATGCTTCCCACTGGGGACTCTTATCCCTCTGGAATCATAAGCCCAAATAAATGCTTCCTTCTATAAGTTCCCTTGGTCATGGTATTTTATTACAGTTAGAGAAAAGCAAGTTCATGTGTGAATACACATCCATTTATACAAAGAGTCTCTTAACTTCTATCATACTTACTAAATAGCTCCAAATGGTAGAAAATAGAAAATGAGAAAGATTGTATGATGATCACATGATAGTCATCTAACTGAGCATTACAATTAATGTAACATTTTATTATGAAGTATATAGTCATTATATATATATATATATTCATATAGTTATAAAACATAAATACACTTAACACTTCTCATATGTTACATTAGAGCCAGATGTGGCAAATGTTGCAAACATTTTGATATGTCATCAACACATGCTAATGTCATTGAATGTTTTATTTATTAACTAATTGAGAGAAAATAGTTTTAAAAGTTCTGCTGACCTCATATAGAAGTATACAAACTTTCTCCCAGCTGTTTCTGAGTTTTGCCACCCGGGGAATGTTATCTTTCTCAAGATCTTGGGAATCATCACTCTGAAGTGGAAACGTTAGAAGTGTGTTCCCATCTCTGCATCCAAGAGTGAGAAAGCCAACATTGGACTTTGAAGGACACAGATTACCTTAGTGGGTTATATAATCATAGGAAAACCTCCCTGAGCATTGTACAACCTGTAGGTCAGCCTTCTCCATCCTTCTTCGGTGCCATCCCACTGGATTGCCTCAGCACTTTCAAACCTCAGAGTCTTTTGTTCGATGTCTCTCTTATAATTCAGTAATCTCCAATAAAGTCATCTTTGCCCTTTACCTTTAGCTCAAGTTTTACTTTAATAATACACAAAATACCAAATCCAACACCTCTTGAGAGGGCCCAGGTCCACCCCAGTTTTAACAATTTCCTGTCATCATGTACTAGAAAAAAATCACCTGCAGCAGCCATCTTTCAGAAATTGTGTTTCCTTTGACAATCAGTTGAAAAGAGCAGTCGAGTCCAGTTTTTGAGTGAACTTTTCCCAACATCTACTAGATTACAGTCTGATGATTTACATAACTGTTAATGTGAACACCAGTTTTACGTTTCAGTACTTTTTTTTTTTTGTTTGTTTGTTTTTTTGTTTTTTTGTTTTCCGAGACAGGGTTTCTCTTGTGTACCTTTGCGCCTTTCCTGGAACTCACTTGGTAGCCCAGTGAGATCTGCCTGCCTCTGCCTCCCGAGTGCTGGGATTAAAGGCGTGCGCCACCACCGCCCGGCTCACATTTCAGTACTTCTTAATACTTTCTAGGTTTCTGTTTTGCTTTTTGGTTTTCTTTTCTCCTCTGAATCAAATTCACATTTTCATGGTTATATGGTTTTCCTGATTGATTGCCGCTAACAAATAAGCTTTTTACTTGGGTTTCTTTTTCTTTTTCCTCTGTTCCTTTCTTGTTCTCCTCGTATTTTTGGTGGTTGTTTGTATTGTTTCTTTTCTTATTTTCTCTCACTAATGCAGAGAAATAACTCAGGTTCCTTGGATGATAACCTAGCAATCAGTGGCAAGCTCCAGGCATATGTTTACATCTGTACTGTGAAGCTAGTCTATCTTAACTATGCCTAGAGATCTTCACTGGCAAGAACCTTTCTGTAGGAACTGCATTTATTTCTGCATTTGAAATAGCACATTCTGTTCTTAAACAGGACTTCGAGAAAGATGTTTTAGTATATCCAAAATAGGACTTAGCTGTTTCCCCATATGTCATTAGTCTATTGCCTCAGTTTATTTTTAGTTTTACAGGATCCTTGCTTTCCAGAGGCTCCTGAACATCATCACTTTTACTTTAGGTGATGTTCTTTTTTGTGTGTTCTTTCTTTCTTTACAACACTGTAATGTGATAATTTGGAAATTGTTATTTTTTTTAAGGAAATAAGTGAATGAAAACTCAAATGCTAACATCTGCAGTGGCATTTCCATTTTAAACTAACTGTGTGTATAATGTTCTGCTTGGTAGGTGAATTATCATTTCCACATAATCATGAAAGATAAAATTTTAATAATTTCCCTTGGAGATATCTCTTTGAAATCGTGTGCAAAATACTAAGTAAGAAGTTAGCGTCACACTGTTCCTTCTCATGTTTCATGTTGCAAAAAATTTCAAACACATGAATTGAGTACAATGCTCTCCCTTTGTTAATTGGGTGCAGCCAGCTAGAAAAGCACCATTTACTTATCCTGATACCCACGAAAGGTACTCGACTGAGGGCAGCTTCAAGTCCCAGAGTATATAAGGTGTTACATATTTGTTTGACACAGTCATATTATATTATACAATCTCATGTATATTACTTTAGTGCTGTAAAATATTCTGAGGTTTAATGTTCCTTCCATTACCTACATTGTTAGGCTAACTTTTACTGTTGTCTTTCACTTAGAAGAACACAAACTTAATCTGTTATATACTAAGGTCCTCATGATAAGTATTTGATACATCAGCTCACTGTTACCATGCCTATTCACAGGCTTTTGACTCTAGCAAAATGTGTTCACTGTAGCTAACCTCCTGGTAATTTCAGTGATGGAGCCCTAAGGGACACTTTTCTCTTACATTTACACCAATCAACCAGATTTTAAGGACTGCTCCAGAAGTCTCTACAAGATTAGTGTGTAGACAAGTGTGTGGTGCATTTTCCTGACTAATGATTGATACTGGGGGCGAGAGGGCTCAACTCCCCATGGACAGTGCCACCCCTGGGTAAGTGGTCCTGAATGATATCAGAGAGCAGCATGAGGAGGCACGGGAGGAGGTCTTTAAAGTAGTGTTCCTCCATAGACACTGCTTTGACTCCTGCTTACAGATTTCCATCTTGAGATTGCCCTTGTCATTCCTCAAAAGATGGTGACCACAGATATGTAAGCAAAATAAACCCTTCCTCCAAAATTGGGCTTTTTTCCTTCATTATGTTTTGCCATAGCAGTGGAGACCATGACTGGGAAAGTCATTTTTATCTATGTTACAATCACTTCTTTTCTATAAAAATGCCAATTACATAGGGACTCATTTCCAAATATATATTCTTTGAAAAAATAAACATACCAAAAATCTAACTTGTGGTGATATATTATTTGTAATCTAGGAAATAAAGCTTGCCTGAAGATCAGAGGACAGAGCTAGTCACAGAGTTAGACATAAAGGCCAGGCAGTGTTGGCATACACCTTTAATTCTAGCGTTAGGGAGGCAGAGGCAGAGATCTGTCTGGATTTCTGTGAGTTCAAGGCCACGCTGGGCTACATAAGATTAATCCAGTCTAAAATAGAAACAGAGCCAGGCAGTGGTGGCACACACCTTTAATTCTAGCACTTGGAATCACACACTTTTAATCCCAGCACTAGGAAGTTTGAGACAGGAAGTGATATGGCTGGGCAGGGAAAGGAATATAAGGCAGGAGGAGACAGGAACTCTTGCTCTTTCAGGCTTAGGAGATGGCGTGGTAAGAGGTCGTGGCTATGGCTTGTTCTGTTTCTCTGACCTTTCAGCTTTGACCCTGATATCTGGCTCTGGGTTTTAATTATAAGACCATTTAGGATTTAGGATTCATGCAACACTAACTATACTGACTCTATCTAACTTCATTCCTGATTTCTATACATGCATATCACTTAATGTCTATGCTTTAGAATAAAGCTTACACGTGTCCTTCAAAACATGACATTGGACAGACTGAACATATTTTCACTTGTCATCTAGCTACTATTCTTTTTTTTAATCAATATTTTAGGCACTTCCTTCACAACAGTGTTCACAACAGAAAAGCTTTTTCTCTTTTGTTGCCCATATTTTAGTGACTTGAAATACATAAACACAAAACAGAGAGTTTTTTAATTATGGAACATTAATCCACGAATAAATATAGTTTTGGCAAACTGCAAATAGCGATTTGTAGTGGGGAAAGTCCTATCTGATAAATTGACAAATGACAATGAGGGTATTAAGTTATACAAGCATGGGTGAAATACCAAGTGAGGCCTCCTGGGAGAACTAAAATATGATGGTAAAAGATGAGGTCAGGGGGTGAGAAGTGTAGATTGGAAGCCACTGTCAAGTTTTGAACACATAAGTAAGAATATTTATTTTAGAAGGATCACTCTGACTCCTGGAGGACTATACTATAGGAGGGCCAATATGGGAGTTGAGGAAACTTTTGACCTATTCAGACAAGAGAGGATTGGTGGAGAATATTATTTAAAGGTGTGTTGCTTTTGTTTATGTTGCATTTGTTTAACTCGATGAAGCTGCGTTACTGTGCCTGTCCAAAACACCTGACAGTCTAATAAAGAAATGAACAGCTAATAGCAAGGCAGGAGAAAGGATAGGTGGAGAACAATCTGGGAGGAGCAAAGTAGGCATAGAAGGAGGAGGACTCCAGGGGCCAGGCACCCTGCTACATAGCAACCATGGAGTAAGAGTAAAATTTACAGAAGTAAGAGAACAGGAAAAGCCTAGAGGCCAAAGATAGATGGGATAAGTTAAGTTAAGGAAAGCTGTCAAGAAACAAACCAAGCTAAGGCCCAGCCTTCATAATTAAGAATAAGCCTCCCTGTGTGTTTTATTTGGGAGCTGAGTGGCAGGCCTCTACAAGAGCAGAAAACAAACAACAGCAGAGGATGGTAGCTACAACTTGTAGTGGCCTTTAAAGGAACTAGAGATGCTATGTTATCAATATCTCTAAGCAACTGAAAATAGGACTTGCCAAGAGAGGGAGCATAGAAAATAGAGGCAGCATTCTCCACTTAAGAAAACTGGTTGAATGGAGTTTACATCTTCTGAGAAAGTCAACTCTATTGGCTAGGCAGGTCTGATGAGAAATGAGAATTTGAATTAGATCTTCTTAAGCATCACTAAACACTCAAGAAGGACTCCAAGAATGCTCTTGTTAAGTGAGCGTAGAGTCTAGGGGATTATAAGATTAGAAATATGATTTAATTAGGGATATTAATTAGGAAATTTGGTCTGCGATCAGGAAATACAGGCAAGACAAATGGCATTTATGTCTGGACTTAATG